CACAACCCAATTAAGCTAAGACAATAAAAATGTGATAATATGATTGAAAAAACATATAATTCGTTAACCACTCATAAATTAAGAACTGAATTGATTTTCACGCGACTTTAAATGAATATATAAAAGAACAATGGTTCACCATATTAATTGGGTAAAATTCACAAATAAACACTTTTTAGCCCCTGCAATTGAAAAGGGATCTTTACACAAATAGCCATTCATATTTATTGTTTATTTTTTCTAGCCATATACATAGCTTATACATTAATTATACACAATTATACACATATAATACATAAACTATATATATTTATTATACCCCACGGGCTATTTTTAGTTTTAAGCGGCTGGGGGGTCGGCTATTTTGGTTAATTCATCAATTGAAAAAGCTATTGTCTTGGAGTTCCAAAAAAATGGTGGCTATTTTTCTAAACAGAGCCGAAGATGGCCAGTGAATACGAGTTTTTAGCCAAAATTATCCCTTATCTTTAAGGCAGGTTCAACTTTGTCCTTTACATATGATTATGAGCACCGTTTGTCCTCTAAGTTTGCAAAACATAAGCACTTTTAATCTAAGTAACAGAAAATATTCACTTTGGTTAGAAAACTAACGGACAGACCCGCCCCTTTCACCCTCAAAATCAGTCCATTTTCTTTTATTTTTTTTCACCAGAAAACACAACTCTTTCACCCTCATAGTATCGATATCTGGCATTGACATTGGCTCAGGTTCGTGACGGATTTCATGTTCGCACTGGCGTTTACAAGAAATATTCGATTGCTAACATGTTGTTGATCACTCACTCTCTCTCTCTCTCTCTATATATATATATATATATATATATATATATATATATATATATATATAACATTTCCAGAAGCTTTTCTTTTCTAGCTTATCGGGTACTTCATTAGGCCCCATCGTCACATGGCTTGAGCAGAGATTCCCTTGTTGTTTGTCATCTTGTAACTATTATTTCCACTCAATTTAAAGTCAAGTTGTCTTGTAACACTACTTTATGTCACTTTTGCTTTTTTTTCACGTGTCATCTGCATTATTGTGCTGGATTTTTTTGTCTTTGTCTTTCTCAATTACTTTTGACCGAGGCTTTGCTCATTTTTACGTATCTAATTTATGTAGAGCTATTGAATCAAAACTTATTCCTGAATCATCTTTGTACGGATCTTGATAATTTAGGTGGTTCTCATCTTCGTAATTATATATACTCTATAAATTACTGTTGCATTTAGGTGTGAAGAGCTAAACGGAAAGTTATGTTTGCTGAGCCATTCCAGTATATAAATCTTCCTCTGGTTTCATTTCAGTGCAGTTTGATTTTCTACAAATCAACTAGAGTAAAATGAAATTAGCATATGGTGATTACTTAATTATTGGTAAAAGTTTCAGATTGAAATTGTTTCATTTTCTTATGTGCAAAACTCTTTGTAGCTTCAGTTCTCAAACGTTTTTTATTTCTTGCAGATCTTGCTTTATCCTAAATAATTCACAATCAAGCTTTTCGTGGAGTATTTTTCTTCTTTCTTAAGCTGCTTAGCAACTTGTTAGAAGGTCACTTCAATTTTCAGCAAATTAAATAAAAGGTCCTTCTAACTCAACATCAATTTTTTTAAAGTTCTGATTCATCTCTAAACTCAAGGTACAAATATTCCAGATGCAAGAAATCGATGGAATCTTTTTGAGCTCTTTATGCGACTAAGAGTGACAGAACCGGCTGATTCTTGGGCTGAAAGAGTTTGGTTTTCTGGTGGAAATGGACTGATTTTGAGGGAGAAAGAGGTGGGTTTTTGTCCGTCAGTTTTCAAACGGAAGTGAGTATTTTATGTTTACTTAGACTAATCTAGCATTTGGCCATAGATCCCAAATTTATTTTGAAAAATCTGATTTGGGTGAAATTTGGTTTGAAGATGAAAATGTGTTTGGACATACGTTTTCAAAACATATTTTCCAATTTTATTTTGGAAAAACATGTATATAATTCTCAAGTTTTGGGATTTTGGCCCAAAATCAGCAATTGGGGTGATTTTGGGATTTGGGATCTTGCCAAAATGTGGGCAAAATTTATGACCAAACATGAGTTTTGAAAATAAATCTCAAATTTATTTTGGGAAAATTCATGGCCAAACGGGGCCTACATATGTTCATATTTTGCAAACTTAGAGGACAAATAGTGCTCAAAGTCATATTTAAAGGATAAAGTTGAATCTACCCTTAAATATAAGGGATAATTTTGGCTAAAACTCGGATACTATTATTTCTAATCTCTTAAACTACTATTTATTAGGTTGGGATCAGGTTTTAAATATATTGGGGCAAATGTATAGATAGTCATTCTCAGGATACTATTTAGAGATTAACCAATATTTATTTTGTTATGAAATTTTAAACTAAAAATTCTAATTTCAGGACAATTCAACACGATTTTGTCCGGAAATTAAACTGAAAAACTAAAATTAAGGACACACTGACTAATTATTAAATGGCAGCCCTTTAAAATGGCTATCTGGTGTCATTTCAACAAATATATTAGATTAAAGGGCCAGCCCATGTTCAATAATAAAGGCCTGATAAGAAATGCATTTAACTTCTATTTGACTTATTTTATCGTTTCAATTTGAGATAAATATATTGGCGGGATTATCAAACCCTACAGCTCATCATTTTCCCGCTCCTCTCTTTCTATCTCTACCCTACCCCCCCCCCCCCCAAAACTCATCTCTGATACTCTTTTCACTTTCTCTCATTTCTCTGCAAATTAATCACATGCTTTTCTCCACCTTCAGATCTGAAAATCAATGGAATTTCAACTAACCTCATTCTCCGCCACCACCACTACTGCTATTTCCGACATACAAAAAGCATGGCATATATTCGCTCTTCTATTATCAACAGGACGACCAGTTCGGCCGTCGGAGCTTTCCTCCAAATGCACCTTATTTTCTACTTCGCCGGATTACATCGAGTTTCTCTGTTTCATTCCTAATTCTCCTCTCCATTTAACGAGCAATTACTTCGTCACTTTTTCTCAATTAGGATTTGTATCAACCGTGAAATTCTTTGCTAATGCGAATGTGTCTCCGGCTTACGTGCCTCAGCTGGAGTTTCGAGCTCTCCAGATGAGACGAGTGAGTGAGTGTATATTTAGGGCTTACTATAGGAAAAGGAAGAGAGCTAGATCGGAGGTTCAGTATTCACACGTGGTTACTAAAAGAAGATTTTTCAACAATTTTGACGGTAAAACCTATCGATTCCATAAAAATTTAATTTTGTTGATTGAAATATCACAATTAATTTGAGTATTTTGTTTGTTTATTTCAGTTGAGCAAGGAAGCCAAGTGATGGTGAATTTGCCTTCAATGACTCGGAGGATTTGTGGACAGGTAACTAATTCGGTGCTTTTCTTATTTTAATTTGAGAAGTTGTGAGCGTGTCTAGTTAGCTAAGGTGTACTTTTTGCTACTATTTAGTCAAACCTTTGTAGAATTAGCATTACCAGTCACAGATGAGATAAGAACTATGTTACTTATAAGGAAAATGTTAATGAGCTTGTTAATATGCTGTAAAAACGTCAATGTTTTTTCTAATTTGAATTAGGTGAAAAAATTAGGAGTGTCTAGTATTGAAGTAACGTGATCTGTCTGGTAAATTTGCTTGTAGCGGATTAGGAATTTAGGGTTAGATCTGATACAAAGCAACTGCAGACTCTATGTTTGGGATATTAAGGCCCTATTTTAGATCTCAGGCAATTTTGAGTTAGACGGTAGAACTAGGAGAGTTTTTCAGCATTTTTGGGGCATTATTTGGAGACTAACTGCAGCACTTCATGAAGTTCCCATGCTTCAATTTTGGCTGGGTTCAGTTGTTGGTCTGTATAACCTTCTGGTTAAGAGTATTCTCATGCAAACAGCTTCAAAAAACTGCGACTGACAAAAGAACAAAATGCTTCTATTCTGTTACAGGCATATCTCCCCAATAGCAGTTTGAGTTGTGGCATGAACCAGTTGACAAGAATACCATTGTCATTGGCTTGCGACTTTAATAGAGTTTATGAAATGTTCAGATCTTCTTCGATAATTGAAGGTAGTGCCAGACCATCAAGTTCTGGACTTAAGTATGTTGAATATGAATGTGAAGAGGAGATAGACAAAGGAGAGCACAATTGTAAAACAAATTTTGTACACACACCTATCTGTAAATCTAAAATTCTTAGTCATAGCGTGTTCAACTTCCCTAAATCAACCGCAGTTGAAAGTATCACAGATCCCGTGCTTCAGCTAAAGCCACTTCACATTAGTTCATTGGAAACCACATGTACCAGTATAACTGCTGAGATGGTTGATACAAAAGAAAGGAAAATAAACTCTGACATAAATTCCTGTACAAAAGTGGACAAAGAAATGGAAATTCTGCTATCTGCAGCTGATGCTTCAGTCCAAGGTTTTGAAAGGATGACTCAAATGGAAAATTTTGTGGGAGGCAACGAAGAAGAACCCGCTTCTTATCCTGTTAGTAATAGAAACACTAACTGCAGTGAGACTCATCCAGCAAAGGTGGACAAATCCCCTCAAGATACTCCTTTAAAGAATGCTACCATAAAATGTACGACAGCATTTCTCCACATGGAAACAGCAAAAACAGATACGCCTCCACAGAATCATGCCATCTTAGTGCACACACAATCTGCTGGTCAGAAGCAGCTCCGAGAATCATCACCTAATTCTAAACCCTTTCAAAGGGATGTACTAAATCACAGGGAGCAAAGGACCTCCAAGTCACCCAAGATTCATAATGCTGCCAGTCTGCTTCTCGATAAGGTACAACTCAGAAGAGATGCAAAGTCAATCCCCATGAAGCTGAAGCACACACAGAACTATGACTTGGGCATGAGTATTAAAGAGAGGAATGGAAATCCCAAAGAAAATGGGGAAAATTTCGTATGTAACTCCACAAAAGTAAGCTTCTGAGCAGCATTTTATTTGACTTGTGTTTTTGCTGCTATATATCGTGATGTAAACCTTGAGGTTCTTGTTTTATAGAATCAATCAGAGGAAAAACAATTGCCTAACCTTGAGTCCTATATTGTGGAGGATGAAGAGGGTTCAGGTATTTACCTGTGAATGGCTTTCAATCTACAGGGATGATTGTTCTGAAGTTTATATCAGTTCATGACTATGTCTATTCTGATGGCTGTATTTGCAGGTGGTTACGGGACAGTGTACAGGGCAAGGAGAAAGAGTGACGGAGTGAAGTTTGCAATTAAATGTATGATATGCAAACTGTTGGGCTTATTAAACTAAATTTAAATTTCTTTGATTTGTACTATCTGATTACGACTATCTTCGAGATCCTTTAGCAGTTGAATGATGTTTCATTCTTGTATATTGTTGAACTTGACTTGTTAACATTCGTGACAAGTATGTGGAAAGATGTAGCTGGATACTCTTTTATTTTACTGTGCAAGGTCAAAGGTAGAATATATTGAAGTATAGGTTGAAGATGCGTCAAAAGATTTGAGGCATTCTTCCATCTTCATTATTTGATTGCTTTGTGGTGCTTTATTTTGCAAATTTCAATCTCAACATCAGTGTGGCATTAGTTAAACTCTTGTGCATTATTTGTATGCTGAAAAGTTGTTTCATTATCAAAGAAATGGTAAAATGGAGCATCTATGCTCTTTTGGAATTGAGTTTCTCTGATACAAATCCATGTATTCTCCTTATGTTGCCTTGGTGGTGATCAATAATTTGATACGTTGTTTCTGACTTTGCAGGTCCTCACCCAAACGCTAACAAACAACATGTCCTTAATGAGTTGAAGATGCTAGAGCGCTTAGGGTAATGATATAGGAGCTTGTTTCAAGGAACCATGGATACATACTCGTGAATACATGCATATATATTATATCTATAAGTATATCTGCTCTATGATGTTTCTAAGAACTTTGCTTTATGACAGGGGAAAGAACTTTGTAATTAAGTACGAAGGATCATTCAAGAATGGAAATTCTGATTGCCTTGTTCTAGAGCATGTCCAGCATGATAGACCAGAGGTCAGTTATCTTATACTTTTGAGTTATCTAGTTTAAATGTCAATATAGTCATTACTTTAACATGTTTACTGTCATGTTTCAAACTTAAGGTCTTGAAAAGAGATATAGATGTTTCCCAGCTCCGGTGGTATGGCTATTGCATGTTCAGGGCACTTGCTGGTTTACATAAACAGGTGCGAGTATCAGAAAAGATGAAGATGAACTGAATGGCTTTCCTGAAAACATATTTAACTTCTAATTTCTTACATGCAGGGTATTGTTCATAGAGATGTTAAACCTGGAAACTTTCTTTTTTCTACCAAGGCTAATAAAGGTTACCTCATTGACTTTAACCTTGCCCTGGTAAGTAGGCTATTCAACTTAGTAGAAATTTTCCTACCTGCTATTTTGTTGACCATATACAATCTAATTACCTTTTACCCATATGTTTCATAGGATCTGCACCAGAAATATGGAACATCAGGTACTTCCTCTTCGTGCTGATTAAGTTTCTTAGCTTGAAATATGTCTTGTGCTTTAAAGTTTCCAATTATGATTTTAAGTGTCTTTTTAACCGAAGAAAGAAAGCTTCGTTAAGGTAAAAAATGGAAGAAATGCAACACTATCCCAAGCTCACTATAAAACAAAAGAGACCCTAAGGCTGTTTTAACTTTTAACTCCCAATAACGTTGCATACTTCGTGTTCAATCTCTATCATTTTCTCTTTTCTTGTGTATCAACCATTGAATGTTCACTAAGAACTGTATATGTATAATTCACAGACAAGACAAAGTTGAGCCATGCCACAAGCTCTAATAATGGTCGTATACCCCTTGGCAAGTCTCTTCCTCTAATTAAACAAAGAAAATACATTGCAAAACTTGAGGAAGGCATCAATGAGGAAGCAGGAAAAGGTGTTAAGCCTCTAATACGATTGAAAAACCTGAAAAGGAAGGCTGACCAAGAAAAGATCAGCGCAGATATTGCACATAGGAGTATTAAAAAAAGTCAAGGTGCTGATGGTTCGGGGATAACCTCAGCAAAGGATGCAACAAGCAATAGGACACCATCAGCTGAAAGGTTGAGAGAACCCCTTCCATCTCAAGGTAGGAAAGAGCTGATTAACCTAGTGCAAGAAGCACTTCAAGGTTCAAACCATGAAGAAACGAATGGTCCAACTTCCAAGAGAAAAAGGGTTGCTGCAACTCCTGGAAAAGCAGAAAGGAAGTATGTTTACCCAACTCCAATGCCATTGCATTCATCTGGAATTGCCATTGGTGGTGCTGGTTTGCTGAAAAGCAAAGGTCTGTTATTTTTGTGTAACTAGATCTGGTCGAAACTGTGGTTTCATGTTTTACTGGGCCTGAACTTCTGCAATGGGTTTAATTTTCTACTGTTGCCAGGGGACGGGAAACACAAGCGAGAAGGACCATGTGTTGGAACTAAGGGTTTCAGAGCTCCAGAGGTTAGCAATTAGCTAATTGTGTATCCATTTGCCTTGTAATAACTTAGCCTGTCCCTGTATGTTCATTCATGCTATACTCGTCTCTTAGATTTAGTTGAAATAGTCGGAAGTCATCTTATTTACATCTTCATAGTAAAATTTGGACTATTAAATATGTAATCAAGAATTTCACTGGCCACCATCATCCTCATCATCGGCATATTTTGCTTATTCCACTGACAAAGGGCCTCATGATCGGTTCATTTGCAGGTGCTATTCCGATCTGTACATCAAGGTACAAAACTTGATATTTGGTCAGCTGGTGTCACCTTACTCTATTTCATTATTGGCCGAACACCATTTGCTGGAGATCCTGACCAGTGAGATTCTTTATCTATATTCACTGCCATTGAGAACTGTGATAAATGATACAGAGAATTTGCTAATCAATCTATATTTCATTTATCAGGAACATAAAGGAAATCGTCAAATTGAAAGGAAGTGAAGATTTGTGGGAAGTGGCCAAACTACACAACCGAGAATCTTCATTTCCAGCGGTACTAATAATTCCAGTGTTTTCTTGAACTGTTCTTTTCTTATTAAGCTCTATTCATAGCTCTGAATAGTACATTGCCATGAAACAGGATTTATTTGACCTAAAATCTCTGTCGCCTGTAAGATTACGAGATTGGTGTTTAAGAAACACCCGAAAACAAGATTTTCTAGAGATCATTCCACATTCCCTTATTGATCTTGTGGACAAGTGTTTAACGTCGAATCCAAGATTGAGGATTAGTGCAGAGGAAGCCCTCCGGCATGAGTTCTTTTCTCCATGCCATGAAGCTTTGAGAAAGCATAGGCTTTACCGTCAAGGGCTCTGCCAAGAGATCCAAGACCCAGTATCTACACTTCCCTTACCAGAAAATTCTCAAACATGTGGAGTATTATAAACAAAGTACATCTAGCTCTTTCGTTCTTTCTTTTAGCCTGTTGTGATGTAAAAATAGCTAACTAATGAAAGTAAATCTTTTAGCAAATCTAGAGTTTAGTTGTGTATTCATATATGTTTACAGATGTATTCTAGTCATGCATAGAAACTTAAAGCCATTGTGCATTAACATTTGACAACTACCTAGACCTGCTGTGCACAATAATAATATGGAACTGTGGAAACTGAAATGGAACTTTCGTTGAGCTTGCTCGAAAGCGTTTCACTGGTTTAAGGTGAGAATGTGAAGTGTGAACCATAGTTTATTTGCACGAAAAGGCAGGTTCCTTTGCTCATTTTGTTCTTTGAGGGTTCGGGGAAGCTTGTTTATGTACTTGTGTTTTATACTTATTTTCCTTCTAGGATTTAACCCGCTTTTTGCAATCTGAAAAGGAGTAAAAATATGTATAATATAAATGACATGGCAGGCTTCAATTGGCTGAAATGCGCGGAAACGTGTAGTTGACACCCAGTCAATTCTACCAAGTACCAGCTTCTGGTCGTTAGATGTTTTGTAACTTAGCATATAAGTAATATTATTTGGTTTTGTCTAGTTCCTTCCGGAACCAATGACCCAATAATTCCCTTAACTACCTATCCCTGCACTTAATGTTTAAAATATTACTCTTTTCCACATTGTCATTTTCTTTTTGCCAACTCTATTAAACTTTAATCACATAATTTTATTTAACTAAGTAAAAAAAGGTACTCTTTAAAATTGCAGAATACTAAGCGGTGCTTCATTTCTTTCAAGAAACACGGGTAAACTCGAATTTGTAAAAGGCGATAATAGTTTTAATTCGAATTATCCGATATGTAAAAAAGAAGTGAAAAATGTAAAGATTAAAATCTCTATTGTGGCCTGTGGGGGCTATAAATGTAAAGTCACAAGAAAACGGCGCTTGTTCGTTGTTTCCTGTAAATTCTGGAAGCAACGAAATATTCGTGAAAACTAGCACCTATATAAACACATCTTCAACGCCTTTCAGGTAACGACTTCGCATTTCCGGTATAGCACTGTTTACACGTGAACTCTGAAAAATATTCTCTGCTCGCTCCTGAGATTTTCCACATGGAAGGTTTTACCTCGTTCTTCAACCCGCAATCGGCGTCGCGCAACAGCTGGAGTTACGATTCTCTCAAAAACTTCCGCCAGATCTCTCCTCTCGTTCAAACTCATCTCAAGCAGGTCATTTCCTTTTCTCTTATACTGTAAATTTTGATTGAGATTTCATATATCTTACGGTATTATCTACTTTTGTTTCATTGTTAGCGTTTGTTTCTACTTTTTTCACTGCTTTGACGGTTTATGTATATTTGAATGTATTCGATGAGAAGAATCAAGCTCTTTTGCCCTGCGGCTACGTTTCTTATCGGATTGTTCGTTAGTTCGTTGAGAACTGACATAATTTTTACTTTTACTTTCTTGACGTAGAAAGAAGAACAAACTGAATTGAAATTTGTTGAAGCCCTAATTATTACCTTTGTGTCCTTGGCCTGGTAAAAAGATAAAGTAAATTGAAAATCATGAGTAATTCGTTGAAGGTTTATTTGAATATTTCTTTAATTAACTAAAATTTGACAATATATTGAAATGTTACTAGAAACGCTTTGGTAACTAATTGTAAAGATTTTAAACATAAAACAGTTGATCACCGATAAGTGAAAAGAATAAGATTACGTAGGTTAAAAGGAGCTATACTGTTAGATGTGTGTGTATGTATCAATTAAAACTCCTGTAAAATAATCAACATCAGGAGACCGTTGCCGGATCGGCATTTTGATTGATTAGTTTTTTGAAGTTGTCATGCCAAATTTAGAGGGAGCTCTAATTTTGTATTGAATTGTATCAATGTATATTGACGTATCAACAAAGGAGCTATACTTTTAGATGTGTACCTAGACGATTATTAATATCAGAAGATTGTTCGTGAATCGATGTATTGATTGGTTAGTTTTTTGAAGTTGTCATGCCAAATTTAGAGAGAGCTCTAATTTTACACCATGAATTGTATCAATGTATATCTATGTATCAACGAGGGAGCTATGCTTTTATTCGTTTACCTATGTATCAACAAAAACGAAACAATAAAACTCGCGTTAGATAATTAATATCAAAATCATTTATGAATCAATGGTTTGATTGATTAATTGAAATCATGCTAAAATAAGAGAGTGCTAATTCTGCATTGAACTGTATCAATGTGGCAGATTTGGTACCACATATTCTTTCTCCAGTTTTTTTTTTCTAATATATAGGGTTTTATCATGACAAGTGCCTTTTCCTGATCTTGACTTCTTTCATGGTTATAGGTCTATCTTACTCTATGCTGTGCTTTAGTAGCATCAGCTGCTGGGGTTTACCTTCACATTCTTTGGAATATTGGTGGCTTACTCACAACACTGGCTTGCATGGGAAGCATGGTGTTGCTTTTGTTGAGCCCTCCTTATCAAGAGGTACTCGCTAACTTTACTGCCCTTTAGCAGTCCCTCGTCACGAACTTCTTTAGTTGTGCAATTTTGTGGTTATGCTGATTATTGAATGTGAACTGATACTTTTGTTATTGTTGGTGAGCAGCAAAAAAGGGTGGCGCTTTTGATGGCGGCTGCACTCTTTCAAGGGGCTTCTATTGGTACTCTAATTAAGGCGGCCATTGACTTCGACCCAAGGTGTGTGTCCTTCAATGTTGTCCCTTTTCATGTTTGAAAATATAGCTTCTGTTTTCTAGTGTGTTAGTTTGAATCTTGTTGTGCTAAACCCATGATTTTTATGAGTTCCTTCCTGATTTGGATTTTGCATCTGATTTGGAAGTGGGATTTCTTTGTTGTGTGGTCTAATGTGTTAGTTTAGGTCTCTATATTTGCGATGCTTGATCTGAATTGCAAATTCTGCTGCTTTGGAATGCATCACTTCTGGTTTTCTTCCATTTTACGATCAGGATTTTTCCTTTTATATGCTAATACACCAGAATATTTTGCCCTTATTTTGTTTGAGTTTGAGGGGGGAAGGGGAGGGGGGAGAGGAGCTTGAAATCTACAAGCAAAGGGACTAAAATTAAAGCTTGTCTGTTTCAAGGCCTGTACATCCAACCTAGTTCAGCTGGTGACTGTCTGAGCCTCGAGTTTAACTGCTGCATTGACATAAAAGTGCTAAGTGACTGTTGCAACTGCCTTTCTCATTACTGTACTCTTGTCATAGCCTATGTAATATTGTATGGCTGTGTATTGTTTCTAGTGCATATACAGCTAGATTGTGCAATTCATATAGTTTAGACTGACTATTTAACATCTTTAAGGTTTACATCCTTGAGGGAGGCGCATCTGATTCTTAATTTTCTTCCATTGCAGCATTGTGATTGGGGCTTTTGTAGGTTGTGCTGTGGTATTTGGTTGCTTCTCAGCTGCTGCCATGGTGGCAAGGCGCAGAGAGTACTTGTACCTTGGGGGCCTTCTTTCATCAGGTGTCTCCCTCCTCTGTTGGTTGCAACTTGCTTCCTCCATCTTTGGCGGTTCCATGGCCCTATTCAAGTTTGAGGTATATGCTTTGTTTCTTTTATGCTGCATATCCTTTATTTGCAAGTTTCTCTTAACATTATATTCCGTTAACACCTGTTTTATGGCAGTTGTATTTGGGACTCTTGGTGTTTGTGGGCTACATTGTCTTTGACACCCAGGAGATTATTGAGAGGGCTCACTTGGGTGATTTGGACTACGTTAAGCATGCATTAACCCTATTTACAGACTTTGTTGCTGTCTTCGTGCGTATCCTGATCATTATGGTAAGGAGATATTTCAGTTCTTATGCTATAATAAATTCCTACGTGATGAAATGCCTGGTACTTCTATGTTTTAGCTGTTGAAGTGACTCTTTGTTTTCTCTTTCTTTCAGCTGAAGAATGCATCTGAGAAGGAAGAAGAGAAGAAGAAGAGGAGAGACTAGAAACTCTAACTCTGATAATGGGATCTGCTTTTTCATGTACTTCTGTTCATATCGACAAACGTGTTAATAGTTTGATATTAGCTTTAGCTTAGACTGTGATTAGTGATACAGTGTTGTGTGGTGTGCCGACGTGGCTGCGATGGATCATGTGGCTTTTGTTTTGGAATTTAAAAATCTGATAACCAAAGTAATTGTGATAAGCCTAGTTTCTTTTTCTATCGACTTCCTCTATTTGACTATTTTATCTGTTGCGCGTTATCAGTTCTGTCCGCAGAAAGCTGGTTTTACTTACTGAATGATCTTTTATTTTCTTTTCCCCCTATTTCTCTGACGATGTTTTAGCTTTCCTTACTACACTCTGACCTTCGGGACCAGGTGTAGCCTTTGCGGGAGATTTTATATTAGAATTTGAGTGGTCGAATGCAACTTGGGCTGGAACTCGGAGGTGTTCTTATTGTGGGGATATATTAGGGGAGGCTCAATGGATCTCGTGGCCTAAAGCGAAATCATATTGAGAGGTCCTTAAATTTATTTTATAAAAGATTTATACTAACAATAAAATTTATTTTTTTAAATAATAAATTAATCATTTAAGACAAAAATAAGCGAAAATAAAAAAAAAAATAGGAAGAAGAGCACAAAAAAGTGGCGGGCTATCAGATGTTGAGGTTCACAAATTTTGATTTGGCTATCATCACAATCAAGAAAAAGAAATAAACGTACATAACATAATAGCTTAAGTTTGAGAAATTTTCATAAAGCACTATCTTTTAGTAGTAATTAGTCATCTATAGATACCATTTGCTATATTACGGATTATAGATACCTTTTCTGTGGTTATAAGATGTATTTGATGTATTTAAGCTATTGTATTCATGAATACAGTAGCAAAAATAGGCGTGAATCAGGGAAGTCCAGCTAATCAGTTGTTGTATTCGAGTGTATTCGACTGTATTCGTGGATTTTCCGATGGGATTACAGCTGGACAGACTATTGTATTCGACTGTATTCACGGCGTGGAATAGAGGATTAAACTGTTTTTAAAACGGAAAGTGAATCAATTAACATAATAGACTCCTAATATAACTCAACAAACTCAACTATAACAAACAAATTTTGTATTTTTCAGTTATAAAAAAGATTCTCAATCGAAAAATACCTCAAAAACATAGCAATCTTCAGAGAAATTATATAATACATCTGAATA